TTTTTTTTTTGTTACTGGAATGGTTCAGTCCTACAGAAACTTCGGTTTAACTTCTGCAGACTGCTGTGGCCTTGTGGGGGGAAATTAAAGATTAAAAACATGAGGTTATTTTAAGAGGCTAGAAGAAACAGGAGAATACAGCCTGTGATGGTGGCATCAGGTCCCTAACATTAATCACTCTTTCACTTCTCTTAAAAATGTTTTTAATAATTAATTTCCAGTAAATGGTTAGTTAAAAGTAGAATTACAGAATCATGTTCATGTGATTAAACTATAGTTATTTTAGAATTTTCATTGAGAAATTTTTTATTGAAATAATTTTAAATTCATTCATTTAGTTAATCATTCTGTTTATTAGTTAAGACATGATCAAAATATACAATACATGTTTAAATTGTAAATTTACAATTGCCACTATTTCTCCTTTGATGGACATATTGCCATTACTATCCCTCAAAATAATTCCCCTCTAAATACTTCACTCACTTTAAATAAACTTAATCTTCCTTGACACTTTTTGAAACAGTTATGGAAGTCCATTTTCACAAATGTCTTTATTTAAAGTGATAGTTCTCATATAAACTCTTAATTTTTAAACTTTTTCAGTTTTGCAACTTTTTATCCTTTGTGGACACATTTGAGTAAGCAAAAGAAGTAAGATCTCTGTTTAATTGGATAGATGATTTTGACAAAAAGTCAAAACACAATGAAATAACTGCTTGTATGTTATAATGTCCCCAGGGATACATTATATGAAAAAAAGAAAGTAGATTATCATGGCAAGTATAAGATTTTATAGTTACTAGTAGAGTGAACATTGGTTTCTCAATTTGTGTGTTTCAATTGAGAATCATCATTTTAACTTTTTGCTAGATTTGTTTTGTTAGCATTTTCTTAAAGATAATTGCATATATTTCATTTAAGGATACTAGCCTACAAGTTTTTTATTCCTTTAGATTATTTGTCTGGGAAAATTTTGACTCATAATACAGAAACTCAAATGCTACCTAACAAAGAAATAAGGAAAGGTTAATTTTGATCTACCAGATGTCTTCTAAATAAATATAATATATGATTTCCTTCCTATATACAAAATTGCCAAAGTGACATATGCATGGAATAGAATGGTGGTGTCAGACAAATGGAGGATGGAAAAATATGGGTTTTTAAATATCTTTTTAATAACTTATGTTTATTAAATTCTGAGGTATATACTGTGCAACATCATGACTAGTGCTAACAATATTTGGGTGAAATATTTGCTGTGAGTGTCAATCTCACACTATGTTATCAAAAATGATGACAAAGAGTTAACAGCAGGACTTCCTCTAAGGTGAAGGATGCATAGATGATATTTATTTTTTTCGATGGCTTCATATGTATGATATATATCTGGACTCTTCATTGCACACATTCTTTTTTATTTTTAATTGAGTTTATTGGTACATTTTAGGGATACAGTACAGTTACATTCATTGTTAGGATCTTGCACCTCTACATGAAGGGGTCTTGGTTCTTATTTTTTCCCCTTGTCCCTGCCCTCCCTTCACCCATCCTCCCCTCCCCATTTACAACCACTTTATTTCCATCTTTTCATTTTCTCACATTTTTCTTCTCCCTTGTTACTCTTTCCCTACCCATCCCACCTTCCCTATGCCTTTGGCCCTTTGCTTCCCATTTCACAATATCAGTTATCTCATTAGGATCTTATGTACTATTACAGATTATTCACACCAGAGAAACTATTTGGTATTTATACATGTGTGACTTATTTATTTCACTTAGGAGTATATCCTCAATACGTATCCATTTTCCTATGAATGAATCTAATTTCTCATTCTTTATGGCTGAGTAATATTCCATTTTATAGAAAAACCACATCTTCTTCATCCAGTTTCCAACTAATGGGCAAATGGGCTGTTTCCAAGTTTTAGCTATTACAAACTGTGCCTCTATAAACATAGGTGCACATACATCACTGTGATATGATTCTTTTAGTTCTTTTGGAAAAATACCCAGCAGAGGGATGACTGGGTCAAATGGAACCTCTACTTCCAGCTCTTTGAGGAATCTCCATATTGATTTTCATAGTGGTTGCACCAGTCTGCACTCCTACCAACAATGGAGAAGGGTTCTTTTTCCCCACCACCCCAAAAACATTTGTTATTGTGTAATTTCTTGATAGCAACCATTCTTTGTGGGGTGAGGTGGAATCTCAGTGTGATTTTCATCTGCATCTCTAGAATGACCAGTGATGTGGAACATTTTTTCATGTATGTACTTGCTGCTTTTATTTCTTTGTCCTAGAAGTATCTGTTCATTTTGGATGCCCATTTTTGAATCGGGTCTTTACATTTTGGGGGGCTGATTGTTTTGGATTCTTTATATATTCTAGATAATAGTCCTTTGTCTGAGGAGCAGCTGGTAAAACTTTTTTCCCACATTGTAGGTTGTCTTTTAGTTCTATTGATGGTTTCTTTTGCAGTGCAAAAGCTTTTTAATAAGGTGAGATCCCACTTGTTGATTCTTTCTGCTAGTTTCCGTGCTATGGAGGATTTGTTCATAAAATCTTTTCCTATGCCAGTGTATTCCAGAGTTCTGCTTAGCTTATCTTCCAGTAAGTTTAGTGTTTCTGTGTTAATATTTAGATCTTTAATCCCTTTGGATTTTAATTTAGTGCATGGTGAAAGATAAGGGTCCAATTTTAATGTTTGGCAGGTTGAGATCCAGTTTTTCCAACACCATTTATTGAAGAGGCTATCTTTCCTCCATTGAGGATGGTCAGCTCCTTTGTCAAAAAAAAAGTATCTGAGGATATCTGGAATTGTTTTTGTGTCTTCCAGTCTGTTCCACTGATCCTTAGGTTTGTGTCTTTGCCTGTACCATGCTGTTTTTATCACAGTGGCTTTGTAGTATAGTTTCAAATTGGGAGTTGTTATATCCACTGCCATGTGTCTTTTGCCTAGGGTGGCTTTTGCTATTCTAGGTCTCTTATGGTTCCAAATGAACTTTTGGATTCTTTTTTCTAGTTCTGTGAAATATAGTGTTGGAATTTCAATTGGCATTACTTTGAATATGTATAGCAGTTTTCTTTCTATGAGAATTTTATTTCAAGTTGCTTCAAACAAAAACACAAAGTCTCCATGTGAATAAAAAATCCTTCTGCCTCTTGAATATCTTCACATTTCAGCAGCTTTAGAAAGGCTACCTACTTCCTCTGTTTTCTCAAGCAGGAATACTTCATTATCTCCCTCTTGTTCATTCAAGTTGTTACATAATGGCTTTCTTTTGAACTTGTTTATCTGAAACAAGCTCCTTTCTCAGGACCTTTGCACTGCTCATTTCTCCATCCATACACATCAGTAGATAACTTTGTGGCTCCCCAAATATCTTAATTTGATGTCTCAATTCAAATGTCATCTTCTTTATAAGACTTACCTGTCCACCTATAAGGATAATATATTTTCCCAGAATTATTTGGACACCTATATTTTCCTCAAAGAAAGTACTAGCATATATGATACATTAGCATCTCTTTTTAACTAATACATACAAATTATGTACATTTATAAAGTGCCATGATTATAGATATTAGATAGACAGATAATAGAAGATAGATAGAAATACAGATTATATATATTGTAATGTTCAAATAGGTGTATATCCTGAAATATTTGTCATTTTGTGCTAAAAACTAACTTTTCTTTTTTCATACTTTACTTATCTACTTGGAGTTTTCCTCATGAATGTATTGCCAGGAGTTTTTCCAGCACCCCATACACATTACCTTGATAGTGCCAGGAATTATTATTATATATATTTTTTTGGTACCAGGGATGGAACTCAGGTCCTTGTGCATGCAAGGCAGGTGGCAGAACCACTAAGCTAAATCGCTGGTCCCTACCGGGAACCTTTTTGTAATCATTTTATAGTTCTCAGGAGCAAGAAACATTTTTTTATGAAAGGTACAGATTTGTGCAATACGCTGCATTAAGGAAAAGACAGAGATGAAAATTCCCAATAACAAATGGTGCAAGGAATGCATTGAGGAACAACAGGTATAAAATTAGTCATGTTCTTTTTTTTAATAGTAGTTCTATGGTAGTGCATGGAACAAAGAAACAACACGGATTTCAGAATTTCTTCTTCTGGGATTTTCAGAGGACCCAGAACTTCAGACCCTCATCTTTGTTCTTTTCCTACTCATGTACCTACTGGCTGTGACTGGAAACTTGCTCATCATGCTGGCCACCATCTCTGACTCCCACCTGCACACACCCATGTACTTCTTCCTCTCCAACTTGTCCTTTGTGGACATCTGCTTCATTTCTACCACTGTGACCAAGATGTTGGTGAACATCCAGAATCAAACCAAGGCCATAACTTATGAAGGATGCATCCCCCAGATTTATTTATTTTCAGTGTTTGTAGGATTGGACTGCTTCCTCCTTGCTCTTATGGCCTGTGGCCAGTTTGTGGCTATCTGTCACTCCCTGCATTACATGGTCATAATGAGCCATCAACTTTGTGGATTGCTGGTGCTGTTGTGTTGGGTGAAAACTGTCATGAATTCCTTGTTACAGTATTTTATGGTGCTACAGCTTTCTTTCTGCACAAACTTGGAAATCCCTCATTTTTTATGTGAACCTATTCAGTTGGTTCACCTTACCTGTTCTGATACTTTTTTAATGACATGGTAATAAATTTTGTAGCAGGGCTTCTGGGTGGTGGTGCCCTTGTAGGTATCCTTTACTCTTATTCCAAGGTTCTTTCCTCCATACATGCAATTTCATCAGCTCAGGGGAGGTATAAAGCATTTTCTACCTGTGTGTCTCACTTATCTGTTGTCTCCTTATTTTATTGTACACTTCTTGGTGTTTAACTAAGTTCCACTGATACACAAAACTCACACTCAAGTGCAAAAGCTTCAGTGATATACAGTGTGGTCACACCTATGCTGAATCCATACATCTATAGTCTAAGGAATAAAGACATCAAGAGTGCTCTGAAAAGACTATTTGAAAAAGAGATTATTAAACTGTCATCTGTTTTGCTATAAATAGGTAATGTTGATCACAGAATTTAATACCCCCAAAACTGCAATATTTGATCAGGTATAAAAAAAGAAATTGTGCCTTTTCATTCTACTTCTTAGCATTTTCATTTCTTACATTTTAATTTCTCTATATTTATGTAACTCACTTTTTAAAGCTGTCTGTTCTCTTGGACATAGAAGGTGTTCTCATCATGTTCTTGGTGTTGTTTTCAATTATTGGATTAGAAATAAGAGAAATTTTCATTTGTCTCTTGGAACAAGGCAGAATTCTTAAGAACAACTTTTTCTCAAATGCCATAGATCATACTGAGTTAATTATGTTGTTAGTAAAACAAAGAGACAAGTGTTTTACTACTATAAAAAACACCATACTTGCTGGTGAAGGCCTTTTGTTTAATATTGTACCACAGGATTTTCTGAGACCACAATTTGGCACTAGGGGATTCATCATTCATTCATTCATAAATTTTTATTTTACTTACTTAACTTATCTTCCTGCCAGTACAGATTAGAACAGATCAATGTGTTTTATCATAAGAATTAATTTATCTTGTATAGAAATTCTACTGCAAGAAATCGGTTTCCTTTTAACCAAAGTAAATAGTGCTGCTCTGCTGAAAACTTCCAATATATTATTCCTAGGCTGAAAAGAAATTCCACACAATTCATAGACTCAAAGACAACTTGCCTAGCTCAGGATTTAACAGTGGTAAAGAAACTTCACTTCACCCTGATTAGGCTGAGAGCATTCACATCTGTAGGGCTATTTTTTCTGCATTTTTTTGTTGTTGTTTATTTTGCTCTTTAACATAGTCAAAGGTTTCCATTTTTATTCTGGTATTTCCTGGGCTAGACATATAGGTTATTCCAGGGAACAGTATTGAAAATACATATATACAACAAAGGCTGAGGATTTGGAAAGTGGATTAGAGGTGAAGCATGAGCTCAAATGCTAATGTCCTGAATGTGAGAAGTGAACAGAGGTGGAGTCACTTTGGAATCCATGGGTTACAAAGTGGACAGCATGAGGTGATAGACAAGGACCTCGTCTCTTGTGTTATTCCCATGCAGAGAGTTCTTGTGATCATCAAGGCTCACTCGTCAAGAACAAAAAAAAAATGTCCATTTTATTTTCATCAGGCTCTTTGGCCTTTTTTATTCTTTTTGGTATATATTGTCAGTACATACTGATCATGTGCCACATGGGAAATTGGCATATATCTGTAACACATCTTAATTCTCTTTTCATCCCCTTCACCTCCCCTCTGACCCTTCCCTCAATTTTCTTGATCCTTTTGCCTTTTTCAGTTTCTATTTAGGTAGCTCTCCTCTAGTGGTCTTTGAAGTTGTGAAGACATTATATAATGGTATTGTTTCATTGCAATGCACACCTGGTGCAAAACTTTCCTCTTTTTACTTTAACACATTTTAATTGTATACAATAATGGGGCATAGTGTAATATTTGGGTGTGTGTACACAATATGTCATAATTCAGGCACAGCAAGCACCATCGATGTCCATCCTATCAGATATGTACTATTTGGCTTTGTAAGAATCACAATTTTTTTCCAGATATCTTGAAATACACAATATAATACTGTTAACCATAGCCACCCTACTGTGTCATAAAACACTAAAACTTAGTTCACCAATTGTAGTTTTGTACCTCATCACCAGCATCTACTTTCTCCCCTAACACTTCTCAGCTTCTAGAAGCCACTATTATCTCTGCTTGCACATATGAGTCAGAATGCAGGATTTGTCTGTGTCTGGTTTATTTTACTTGACATATTGTCCTCTAAGATCACCCACTGCACGGAACTTCACAATAGCCAAGCTATTAAATCAAACAGTGTCTATAAATGAATGAAAGAATACTGAAAAAATGGTCTATCTACACAATGGGAAATTGGTTAGCCATTAAAAAAATAAAATTCTATTCCTTACGGGATGTAGTCACTTGGGACCTTGTGTAGATGTTTTATGTGAATGACATGTTACAAAAATTACAAAAGTATTGTGGACACTGTGTACCGCTATAGAGAACATTTAGCTGGAAGTAATAGTAATTCACGTCTAAACCATTCTGAAGGAATTGGTCTGTCACTTCATTTTTCTGCACTATCTTCCCCAATGTATGTATTTTATCCTCACAGCTACAGAATAAATGTTTCACCAACAGATATTGAATTCATGTTCCAGGACAGATGACTGGGATTGGAATCAAGGATGGAGTATAAAGGAGGATTCCTCACAGATCTTTCAAAAAACAAACTTTCAAATGTTGTATCAAATACACACACACACACACACACACACACAAATGCAATTTCAAAATGTCAGTGAGTTTTCAAAAAGTGTATTAATGCAAGTACCCACAATTCAGAATTCAGACCAAGAAATAAAATCTATGCAGCTACTCAAAAACTTGCCTCATGCTCAATTGCAAATACTACTTCTGCTCCTATGATAACCACCCTTTTCCACAAAGTTAGGATAAAGACTCCCATTGGCTCTTTGAAGCTGCGTACAAATAGAACTATACAATAAGCGATTTTGTGCCAGCCTCATTCTACTTAATACCGTCCTTCGAAGTTATGTTTGATCATTATGAAAGTACATTTATTCCATGCAACTCCACATACAAGACTTCAGCTTATGTCTTTTTGGTCAAAGCTTGAGCTCATGATATAGTAGACAAAATAATGTCCTTCAACAATGTTTATGTCCAGATCTCCATAGCCCAATAAATATGTTTGTCTACATAGCAAAAAGACACTTCAGTCAGAGTCAAAATTTAATTTCCCAACAAACTGACCTTAGACAGAGACATGACCCTAGATTCTATGACTGAGCCAACATTATTATGCTCCTTAAATATGTGAGAATAAATTAGGGTGAGAGATACAAATTTTGTTTCAATCTTATATACACCATTAACCAGTTTTCTCATGATCATTTGTTAAAGAAGCTATCTTTCCTTCAACATAAGTTTTTGTGTCCTTTGCAAAAATCTGGTGACTGAAGGTACCAGGGATTGCTTTTGTATCTTCCATTTGATTGTATTGGAATACATATCTATTTTTGTGCTATTAACATACTATTTTTATTACTTTATCTGGGTAACATAACTTGAAATCCAGAATTGTGATGCCAAACCAGGCATGGTGGTGCACACCTGTAATCCCAGCACTTGAGAGGCTGAGGCAGGAGGATCACTGTGAGTTCAAGACAAGCCTGGGCTACATAGTGAGTTCCAGGGCAGTCTCAACTACATAGTGAGACCCTGTCTCAACTCCCCCCCAAAAAACAACCCAGAATTGTAATGCCTTCTTTGCTGTCTGGTCAGAATTGCTTTGGCTATTCTGGTACCTTCTGATTCCACATATTTTTTTTTAAATTGAGTTTATTGGTACATTTTAGGGATACAGTACAGTTACATTCATTGTTAGGATCTTGTACCTCTACATGATAGGTCTTGGTTCTCATTTTTTCCCCTTATCCTTGCCCTCCCTTCAGCTTCCTCCCCTCCCCATTTACAATCACTTTATTTCCATCTTTTAATTTTTCGCATTTTTTCTTTTCTCTTATGGCCCCTCCCCTACCCATCCCACCTTCCCTACACCTTTAGATCTTTGCTTCCCATTTTACAATGTAAGTTATCTCATTAGGATCTTATGTACTATTACAGTTTATTCACACCAGAAAAACTATTTGGTATTTACACATGTGTGACTTATTTATTTCACATAGGAGTACATCCTCAATATGTACCCATTTTCCTATGAATGAATCTAATTCCTCATTTTTTGGAGCTGAGTAATATTTCATTTTATAGAAAAAACATATCTTCTTTATCCAGTATCCAACTGATGGGCAAATGGGCTGTTTCCAAGTTTTAGCTATTACAAACTCTGCTGCTATACACATTGATGTGCATACATCACTGAGATGATTGTTTTAGTTCTTTCAGGAAGATACCCAGCAGAGGGATGGCTGGGTCAAATGGAACCTCTATTTCCAGCTCTTTGAGGTATCTCCATATTGATTTTCATAGTGGTTGCACCAGTCTGCACTCCCACTAACAATGGAGAAGGGTTCCTTTCTCCCCACACCCCTGCTAACATTTGTTATTGTGTGATTTCTTGATAGCAGCCATTCTTTGCGGGGTGAGGTGAAATCTCAGTGTTGTTTTCATCTGCATCTCTCGAATGACCAGTGATGTGTAACATTTTTTCATATATTTACTAGCTACTTTTACTTATTTGTCCAAGAAGTGTCTGTTCATTTCAGATGCTCATTTTTGAATTGGGTCTTTATATTTGGGAGTGGTGCTGATTGTTTTGAGTTCTTTATATATTCTAGATAATAGTCATTTTTCTCAGGAGCAGATGGTAAAATTTTTTGCCACATTGTAGGTTGTTTCTGAGTTCTATTGATGGTTTCTTTTGCAGTGCAGAATATTTTTAATAAGATGAGATCCCACTTGTTGATTCTTTCTCCTAGTTCCCATGCTACTGAGAGGATGTAAAAAAATGGAAAGATATCTCCTGCTCCTGGGTAGGAAGAATCAACATAGTGAAAATGGCCATACTACCAAAACTATTATACATATTCAATGCAATGACAATTGAAATTCCAACACTATATTTCACAGAACTAGAAAAAGGAATTCAAAAGTTCATTTGGAACCATAAGAGACCTAGAATAGCAAAAGCCACCTTAGGCAACAGACACATGACAGCGGGTATAACAACTCCCAATTTGAAACTATACTACAAAGCCACTGTGATAAAAACAGCATGGTACAGGCAAAGAAACAATCCTAAGAATCAGTGAAACAGACTGGAAGACACAAAAACAATTCCAGATGTCCTCAGATACTTTTTTTGACAAAGCAGCTGACCATCCTCAATGGAGGAAAGATAGCCTCTTCAATAAATGGTGTTGGAAAAACTGGATCTCAACCTACCAAAGATTAAAATTGGACCCTTATCTTTCA